CATGTCAGAACCATGATCTGTGAGGAACCTTTATCATGTCAGAACCATGATCTGAGGAACTTAAATCATGTCAGAACCATGATCTGTGAAGAACCTTTATCCTGTCAGAACCATGATCTAAGGAACCTTTATCATATAAGAACCATGATCTGAGGAACTTTAATCATGTCAGAACCATGATCTGTGAGGAACTTTAATCATGTCAGAACCATGGTCTGTGAGGAACCTTAATCATCTCAGAACCATGATCTGTCAGGAACCTTAACCATGTCACAACCATGATCTATGAGGAACCTTTATCATGTTAGAACCATGATCGGTCGGGGACCTTAATCATGTCAGAACCATGATCTGAGGAACTCTTATCATGTCAGAACCGTGATCTGTGAAGAACTTTTATCATGTCAGAACCATGATCTGTGAGGAACCTTAATCATGTCCGAACCATGATCTGTGAGGAACCTTAATCATGTCAGAACCATGATTCGTGAGGAACCTTTATCATGTCCGAACCATGATCTGAGGAACCTTAATCATGTCAGAACCATGATCTGTCAGGTACCGTTATCATGTCAGAACCATGATCTGTCAGGAACCTTTATCATGTCAGAACCATGATCTGAGGAACCTTAATCATGTCAGAACCATGATCTGTGAGGAACCTTTATCCTGTCAGAACCATGATCTAAGGAACCTTTATCATGTAAGAACCATGATCTATCAGGAACCTTAATCATGTCAGATCCATGATCTATCAGGAACCTTTGTCATGTCAGAACCATGATCTGTCAGGAACCTTTGTCATGTCAGAACCATGATCTGTGAGTAACCTTTATCCTGTCAGAACCATGATCTGTGAGGAACCTTTATCATGTGAGGACCTGTAGAACCAGAAATTGACCTTCATGTTAACAGTTTTCCTCTGTGTATGTTTCAGGGACAACTCGAGTTTCAGAAACACAAAGATCTCCCTCTGAAGACAATCATTATCTCCTGTCAGGATGCAGATCACCATGGTTACACTCTGCTCTGTCAATGGCCATGGGAGGGTTGTTTTTTTTTGTGTGTGTGTGTGTGTCTGTGTGTGTGTGTGTGTTTTTGATCGTGGACCAATAAACTGAACTGGACTGAAGTTGTTTGTTTTATTGTTTCAAACATCGATTGATTAGTGATCAGATCGTTTTATTTAAATCCAAACTGTTCAGTATAAACCAGTATAACCGGTATATACGTGTATAAACCAGTATATACGTGTATAAACCAGTATAACCAGTATATACCTGTTTAAACCAGTATTTATTTATTTATTTTTTTAAATTTTATGTACTTTATTAATCCCTGAGGGGAAATTCAATGTTTTTCACTCTGTTGTCAATTACACACAGATCCGAACACACACATGCACAAACAGGACCTATACATGCACTAAGTGGAGAGATGTCAGAGTGAGGGTGCCCATGACAGGCGCTCTGAGCAGTTGGGGAGTTCGGTGCCTTGCTCAAGGGCACCTCGGCAGTGCCCAGGAGGTGAACTGGCACCGCTCCATATTTTAAGTCTGGACGGGGACTTGAACAGGCGACCCTCCCCTGGTTATACTGCTGCCCAGTATAACCAGTATATACAAGTATAAACCAGTACCTATATTAACCAGTATAACCAGTATATACCTGTATAAACCAATATAACCAGTGTGTACCTGTACATACCTGTATAAACCAGTATATACCTATATAAACCAGTATAAACCAGAATATACCAGTATAAACCAGTATATACCTGTATAAACGGGAAAAACCAGTGTATAAATCAGTATAACCAGTATATACTTGTATGAATCAGTATATACCTGTATAAACCAGTATATACCAGTATAAACCTGTATAACCATTATATATCTGTATATACCAGTTATACCTGTATAAACCAGTATATACCAGTATAACCAGTATATACCAGTATAAAACTGTATAACCATTATATATCTGTATATACCAGTATATACCTGTATAAACCAGTATAACCAGTATCAGTCAATCAATTTTATTTATAAAGCCCAATATCACAAATCACAATTTGCCTCACAGGGCTTTACAGCATACGACATCCCTCTGTCCTTATGACCCTCACAGCTGATCAGGAAAAACTCCCAAAAAAAAACCCTTTAACAGGGAAAAAACGGTAGAAACCTCAGGAAGAGCAACTGAGGAGGGATCCCTCTTCCAGGATGGACAGACGTGCAATAGATGTCGTACAGAACAGATCAACATAACAAATTAACAGTAATCCGTATGACACAATGAGACAGAGAGAGAGAGAGTGAGAGAGAGAGTGAGATGCAGGTACTGACAGTAGCTTACAACAACATTATTGAAAGTAATAATATTATAGTTCTGGCTACTGTGGTACAATATGTTGAAAGTATATATTAATATCTGGCAGTATACATGTGTGACAATAGTCATATGTGTATAATAACAGTAGAAGTATGACTAATGACTAATGATGGCAGCAGCAGCAGGAGGCATCTGGCAGGACCACGGCAGCAGCACAACCACACACGTCACGCTGTCCAGGCACCGCTGTGATATGAGTTAATCTGAGAGACAGTGGAGCACAAAGGCTCC